TCATACCTCATGCTATCCCCCCCCCAAGTTTATTGACTTATGCCAATCATACCTCATGCTATCCCCCCCCAAGTTTATTGACTTATGCCAATCATACCTCATGCTATCCCCCCCCCAAGTTTATTGACTTATGCCAATCATACCTCATGCTATCCCCCCCCCAAGTTTATTGACTTATGCCAATCATACCTCATGCTATCCACCCCCCAAAGAAAGAAGGAAAAAGAAAAATGCTACACTTAAGGTAAAATTTCTCATTAAATGATTGCCGAACATCTCCAAACACTTGCTATCATTCTTTTTTTGCAAAGTTGTAGGGGCTCTCCATCACAGAGAATTTGGGGAAGAGAATCTGAGATCATCTAAAAGAACATGTGCATTTACCCGTGGACCCAGCAATTCTCCTTCTAGGATTCCACCTCAAAGAAAAGAACTTCACACATGAAGTTACTCATGGTGGCATCCGTAATACTGGAAAGAACACAAGCGCTTACCACTGGAGGGTAAGGTGCATTCATGCAGCCAAAAAAGGGAAGACTCGCTGATGAGAAGAAATGATCTCCAGATATGCAGACAAGGTGTGCATAATAATGCACATACAGATTTGCTTTCTTTTTCTCTTAAAACACTCACTAAGAAGATAACTAAAGTGGTTGCTATGGGGGAGCGAGGGGAGAGGATTCAGGGACAACGGAGGTTAGCTCTGAAAACGTGAATGTTTTACGTAATTACCAGATAGTCCCTAAAACTGAGAAACAGTAAAATCCATGACCCTGACTGTTACGGGCCGGATCATACAGAAGCCAGCCCCGCACGAGCACTAGGTAGGAAAGGGACCCAGAACAAGCAAGCCGGGAAGGAAGAAACCCTTGACATCTGTGTCCTTTGGTATCTGGCCACTTAAATTCTTTAGGACACAGGGTCACCCATTAAACAATTTGCTTACGAAGAACAAGAAGGAAATGTTTTTCTTCATGTGCTGTCAACACCAAAATTCATTTTTACTTAATATATACAAGATTTCTGGATTTCGGTATTTTAGGTCAACAAACATGCCTCAAATTAAACAGTATAAGCTTTAAATGAACTTGGAGATAGAAGTGTGCAATTTATGCTTTATTGAAGAATCAGGCCCAGTTTTACGATTTCACAAGAAGGAAGCAAAGGATAAAGGTAGGCTTCATTCACACTTCTGGCTGTTGATTACCAGCAAGCTTCCGGCCACCGGGTAGATGACCCCTAGTCCAATGGCCTTCCTTACTCACTTGAGTACGGGATTTTAAAAAGGCAATCAGGAAATGAAGACACACACGAGCTATTATACATAATTACAAAAGCTGGTCACCTCTGGTCTCGTCAGTAGGAGCGAATGGCCGGAGGGACTGTGGCACAGTCAGCCTCGTTTAAAGTTCTGTCGATCACTGGTCTGTATTCCAAAGAAACCTGAAAAAAAAAAAAAAAGAATCGACAATAAAACAAAAACATACAAATAGCATTCTCTTGTGCCTTTTTGAAAAATTAGCAATAAAAGTTATTTGCAGACATATTTCAGGAACTTAAAAACACAAGGACTCACCGGAGTATTTTTCAGTAACAAAGTAAAAGATGATCTAAATGCACAACAGGGGACCAGCCACGTAACTTATGGTAAATCCATGTAATGAAATACAGCAATTAAAACAATGTATTAGGGACGCCTGGGTGGCTCAGTTGGTTAAGCAGCTGCCTTCGGCTCAGGTCATGATCCCAGCGTCCTGGGATCGAGTCCCACATCGGGCTCCTTGCTCATCAGGGAGCCTGCTTCTCCCTCTGCCTCTGCCTGCCATTCTGTCTGCCTGTGCTTGCTCTCTCTCCCTCTCTCTCTCTCTCTCTGACAAATAAATAAATAAATAAATAATCTTTAAAAAAAAAAAAAATAAAACAATGTATTAAATTCTCGATGCTTTACACAAATGGTCAAGAAGTGAAACCCTGCATACAACCATCATTCTTTAATTATGTTTAAACTATGTATTTGCAAATCGTTTTCCTACTTGTATTTATATACATACACGTAAGGAAACGTGTACGCACATACATGCAAAACCCGAAGGAAATATTTCAGAACGGCAATGAAGGCTATCTCTGACTGGGCAGCTTACAAAAATTAATTCTATTTTTGTACTTTCTATACTTTCTATTGTAATTGTGAAAAGCCCTGAACATTACTAAAAGCAGGACTGTACCAAGAGGGAAGTCTGATTTCTTTCTATACACTGTCAGGAAAGAGCCTTCATGCAAAATTAAGGAAGTTACTGCCTACCTGAAAACATCAGACACCTGAGGCTCTCGGTATTAAGCGATGGCAAGAGAGCACAACATCGTTTCTGCAGACTATCCCTTACAAGCCTGAAGGGCGTACGGGTAAACACTTTATGTCTTATTTCTGATTCTTAATGCCCAGCAGAAATGCCAAATGGGTGAACTGTGCTTTGCTGCAGTCAGACTAGGAGCCTCCACTGTACTGACACTGGCTGTTCCTAGGACTCTGCCCACCTCACCCCTCCTCTGCCTGCTCTGCGCCCAGGCCGATGCTACCGGCTGCACAGAATACCCCAGGGCGACCGGAGGCTGCTCCCAGGTGGTCCGGCCGATGGGAGAAAAGGAGTGTTTTCCTGTCCCACTCCTGTCCCCTGTCCTCACGCTCAAGGGGCTCCAGAATCATTGTCCCTTCCCCTCACACCAAGGCTTGGGTGCTCACTCCCTGCTGGGGGCTAAAGCTGTGGAAGGCCAGCCCTTAAACCACCCGCCTACACTGGATTCTGTTTCCAGGCAGAAGCCTGAGTGTCCTTTCCAGGAGTGTCTCAAATCTGTCACCCGTCAACTAAAACCACATTGGTTCTCCCAGCCCGTCATATGCTGAACTGCAGAACGTGTGGGACTGTATACTCATCAGCGCACGCGTGAGCAGAACACGCTCCCTACACACCTTCCCAGTCTTGACATCAACATAGGAAAGGGTGTGCTTCCTCCAGTGCGCCTCAAACGGCTTCTTCTGCTGCCCCTGGATGGGCTTGGAGTAATCATACTCGTCAATCCGCTCCTGAGGCCAGAGAAAGGAACTATATTTCAGAAAATGCCAGTAACAATTATACTACAAATGTCTTATTTCTCTAACAAGGCAATGTAACTGGAAACCAGGGCAAACTCATTAAAATGATACATCAGAGACTCGTCTGATACGAATCCCCCTAGATCCCACTCAACAAGGAGGTATCCACTGTCCCAAGCAGACCTTGGTCACAGAGAGCGGGACATCCCCAGTCCATTTTTCAACCCATGTCCCTTTCCTTCTAAAATTCCTAGTGAAAACCCATTTTGTGTATATCTGACCTAGAAGAACACAGAGTATGAAAGAAGTGCAAGTAAGTCCCAACTCCAAGTGGGACGGAGAGAGACGATCGTCACACGTTTGCCAGCAGCCAGCTTCCCGGAGCACCCGTCCATCCTGCAGCGTGGGGCAAACCATTCGCTCATCCCAGTGCCTCCACAGCACAAATTAGCCTGATCTTTCATGCAATTAAAAGTTCATCAAATAGGGGCACCTCGGTGGCTCAGTGGGCTAAGCCTCTGCCTTCGGCTCAGGTCATGGTCTCAGGGTATTGGGATCGAGCCCCGCATCGGGCTCTCTGCTCAGCGGGGGGCCTGCTTCCCTTCCCCTCTCTGCCTGCTTGTGATCTCTGTCAAATAAATAACATCTTTAAAAAAAAAAAAAAGTTCATCAAATACTTTGTCTTTTTGCTCATATACTGGGAGATTTCGATTTCTTCTTTTAGCTTTTTTCATTTAAATGTTTCACTTTAAGCAATTATATTAAAATTTTGGTCAAAAACTCTTAAAAAGAAGCTGAATACTATTAAGGCATATCCTACACACGGTAACGGAAAAGACATACAAGAGCTGCTTTAAATAAAAGCCAGGGGCACCTGGCTGGCTCAGCCAGTGAAGCACGGGGTTGGGAGTTTCAGCGCCGTGTTGGGGGCACAGATTACTTAAAAATAAAATTTACAAATAATAACGAACTGACGGCTGACAGAGGGAGGTGGTGGGGGGAGGAGGACATTTGTTGTGATGAGCACTGAGTGTTGTATGTAAGTGATGAATCGGTGAACTGTAATCCAGAAACCAATACTGCACATGTGTCAACTACCTAAAATTTAAATTTGAAAAAAGTCAACAGAATAAAAATTAAAACACAAAAGTGTACCAAAAGCAGCTTTCTATAAAAATAAATGAATAAATAAAATAAAACCCAAACCCGGGAGCAAGCGGGGCTGTAGCACCCTCCCTTCTTTCTGAACACACAGCAGGGGTGAGTTCTCCGGGGCCAGCAGCCTCCACCTGCCCGACTGCTGTGACTGAACAGAAACTCGTTCACCGCGGCCACACGAACTGCCAAGCGACCCACAGCTGGGGAGGCGTCTACTTCTCAGTACATGTGACGAATGTGCTTCATCAGGCTGAATCTAATCCAGCTTCAGTGGCTGGCAGGTAACTTAATAAAATTTCACAGTGACTCAGAATGTAAGCCCCTTGCTGGGGCCAATTTTCCCACTCGCCTGTGCCCAGCTGACTGGTGTGGCTGCTCCCAGCTCCACCACACTGTCCCGGACAAAAGCCTATCTGTCCGGAAAGCGGTGTTTGCCCTCAAGTGCCCATGTCCGCAATGTTTTCCCATCATATGCTGAGCGCTCTGTCTGGAAGAATTTGAGCTGTACTCTGCATAAAAATCAGGTCATTCAGGGGCACCTGGGTGGCTCAGCTGGTTAAGCAGCCCCCTTTGGCTCAGGTCACGATCTCAGGGATCGAGCCCCGCATCGGGCTCCCTGCTTGGCAAGGAGTCTGCTTCTCTCTCTCTCTCCTCCCCTCACCCCCAGCCCGGCCGCTTCTGTTCATGCGTGTGCACTCTCTCTCAAATAAATATAATCTAAAAAAAAGAAAAAGAAATCAGACCAAGATGAGGTCAGGCCTCAATCATTTACTCATTTTTAACATTTTCCGGCCACAGTACTCAGACTGCAGGCTAATCTCGGACCTGGTAAAAGTCGGGTGGGCTCTCAGAGACGCCACTGGCAGGAGCAGAGGCCGATGGTGGCAAGAAAAAGTCATGCTGGTACCAAACACAGTGACACCAAAGTATGAAAGTTATCAGAGGCGGAAAAAAAGCATTTTTTCAATTTACTTTTGGGAAGATGGAGTGAAATGTACAGAAAGTGCACGGTGAGGGACTGAGCAATGCCCGTGGCCGGAGGACATGATGTGCACCTGGGATGTGCTGTGAGGACGCACCTTGTAATCTTCCCGGGCGTGAGCGCCACGCGACTCCTTCCGGGCCTCTGCTCCATAAATGGTCTGAAGCGCACAGAGCATCAGGTTCTGTAGCTCCAGGGTCTCCACCAGGTCGGTGTTCCAGACCATTCCTGGGGACACACAAGGCACCCGTTAGAGACAGGATCCAGTCCGATGTGCCCTCAGGGCTGTGGCTGTGGGTTGCCAGCATCCACTCACACAGCAAGGACAGAGTGAAGTCAGCACTACATGGGACACACAGGGCCCTGAGGCAGCCTAGCAGATACCCGGCGCCCCAAGTACACCCAGGGCCCCACAAACTGCTCACCTCGGTCAAACGTCTTCAGATGTTTCAGGTCTCCATAGAGCTGGCTGATCTTCTCACAGCCTTCTTGTAACACACTTCCCACACGGAACACTGCAGCATGATTTTGCATCGACTGTAACACAAAATATCATCTGTAATTCTCCAGTTGGTGTGAAGCCAGGTCTAAAACTGGTAAACCCTTCAGACTTTTTCTTATGCGTTTCATTTTTACTTTTAAAGATTTTATTTTGAAATAATCTCTAAACCCAATGTGGGACTCAAACTCACAACCCTATATGCGTACACGTATATACAGCACATACACAGTACACAGAACACACACGCCCATCGTCAGTAACCATTCATCCACCATCAGACACCTATTTTCTTGGCTACTGTGAACAACACTGAAATAGACATGGGGCACAGACATCTTCTGGAATTAGCGCTTTCGTTCCCTCTGAATACATACACAGAGCTGGGATTGCTGGATCACAGAGTAGTTCTACTTTTAATTGGGGGGCCTCCACACAGCTCTCCGCACCAGCTGCACCAGCCTGCATTCCCACCAACAGCGCGTGAGGGCTCCCTCTCTCCAAATCCTTGCCAACATTTGTGTTTGTCTTTTTGATACTAACCCTTTCTGAAGGTGTGAGATGAAGTGATGTGATTCTGATTAGCATTTCCCCCACGATGAGTGATGCTGAGCAGCTCTTCATGTCTGTTTGCCAACTGCATGTTTTCTTTGGAAAAACGTCTGTTCCGATGCTCTGCCCATTTCTTAGGTTGTTTTTATTCTACCGAGTTGTAGGAGTATTTTATGTGTTTTGGGATGTGAGTCCCTTATCAGATACAGGACTTGCACGTATTTCCTCCCATTCTATAGGCTGTCTTTTCATTTTGCTGGTCTCCTTTGCTGTGCCGAAGCTTAAGTTTGCTATGGTCCCAACAGTTTATTTTTACTTTTCTTGCCTCTGCTCTTGATGTCAAATCCAAAAAGTCACCACCAAGACCGCCATTCAGAAGCTTACTGCTTGTGTTTTCTTCTAGGAGTTTTATGGTCTCAAGTCTGACATTCAAGTCTTTAATCCATTTTGAGTCAGTTTTTTGCATGTGGCTCTTCAGTTTTTCCAGCACCATTAAAGAGACCGTTCTTTTCCCACTGGATATTGTTGGCTCTTCCGCTGTAAATTATTAGCCATATACACTGGTTTATTAATGAGCTTATTTCTATTCCATTGATCTACAGAGGTCTGTTTTTAGGCCAATACCTTACTGTTTTGATTACTATTCCTTTGTAATATAGTTTGAAATCAGGGAGAGAGATGCCTCCAGCTTTTTTTTTTCTCTTGGGATTGCTTTGGCTATTCAGGGTCTTTTGTGGTTCCATACACATTTTAGGTTTGTTTGTTCTGTTTTTGTAAAAAATGCCACTGGAATTCTAATAAAGACTACCGAGTCTGTGAACAGCTTTGGGTAATATGGCAATTTTATAGTATTACTTCTTCCAGTCCATGAGACAGAGTATCTTCCCACTTATTTATGTCCTCAACTGTATTCATTAATGCTTTATACAATTTTCAGTGTACAGATTTCTCCCCGTCCTTGGTCAAAATTACTGTTTCTGATGCAATTGTAAACAGAATTATTTCCTTCATTTCTCTTTCAGAATGTTCATTATTTGTGTAACAGAAACAAGATTTTTATGTACTGATTTTGTATCTGTCAACTTTACTGAATTCACTCACTAGTTCTAAGTTTTTTGGTGGAGTCTGTGTCATGTGATCTGCAGGTCTGTAAACAGTGAATTTTACTTCCTCCTTCCCGTTGTAGACGCTTTCTTTCCTGCCTGACTGCTCCAGCCAGGACTTCCAGGGCTGGGCTGAATCAAGTGGTGCGGTGAACATCTCTGTCGTGTCTCCGGGGTGAGAAAAGCGTTCGGCTTTTCACCACTGAGTCTGACACTAGCTGTGGACTCATCATATACGGCCTTCATTACACTGGGGTACACTCCTTCTATACTTGCCTCGTTGACAGTTATATCATAAATTGATGTTAAAATGCAGTTTTGATGAAAGCTTTTAAAAAATGCTTCTACGTTCCCATTAAATATGTGTCTTAAATCCACATACATTAAAGCTGAACAGTTTGCATTTCGGGGAGGTCATCTGTGGAACTCGGCCAGGATCTGTGATCGCAAGCAGACTTACTCGAGGCACGCTGTACTGAATGGTGGCACAAAGGGCATAAGGGCTCCACCTTCAAAGTCCCAAGGAGACACTAGCTCCACTCTCGAGATCTGGTGGCAAATGTTCTAGTAGCCAGCAGACGGCCCCTTGGTGACACAAACTAAGGAGTGCTGAGGTTGAGGCGGTCAGCAGAGAGCGTGGCGTGGGCGGTCATGAAGAAGAGTGAGAAGTCAGAGCCTTGGGAATCCTCCCTGCCCGTCTTCTGGTTAATCTTGCAGAAAACCACTCATATATTAAATTCCTCTATGGCTTTATGGTTTATGATCTTAAGAAATATGACATGAAATAAACCTGACATTTATTTTCGGATCTACATTTGTTTCCTATCACCTACTGAATGGCCTTTCATCGCTCTTGAAAAACCCCTCTACCCCATGCTCAATCACAGTGTGTGCCTGGGCCTACTTCTGGACTCCACTTTGTGCACGCACCTCTACCACAAGCTAATAAAGCTTGCTGATTTAGTTCTATTTAACAGGCATGTCATCTCCTTCTTTAGAATGATACATAATTTTATTTTTGTTTTATTTTTAAAAATTTTATTGAGAGACCGAGACCACAAGTGAGGATGAAGAACCGGATCCCTGCCGTGGGGCTCGATCCCAGGACCCTGATATCGTGACCTGAGCCCAAGTCAGATGCTTAACTCACTGAGCCCCTCAGGAGCCCCAGAACAGTACATCATTTCAAAATTGTAACGCCCAACATCAAATGTCCTGGCCTCTCGGGACAAGCAAACGGAAAAAACTATCTTAGAATCTAGTAGGTGTTAGTTAAAACATTCTTTTATGTTCTTCAGTGCCCACGTTTTCATACTCTTCAGGGTTAGGACATTGTAAAACTTCTGGTTGTACTGTGAATGAGGTTAATTTTCAAATGGATTATTGCAAGCATCCTGGAAAGCTATTGAGGAGTCTTTTATACAGATATCTTAGTTCATTCTCATTTTTACTAATTTTTTACTTATGGTCTTGAGATTTTTAACTGTGTCTGTAAATGATGATACTTCTGTCTACTCCTTCTCAATACATACCTTGTTTCGTTTCTCTTACTGTTACCAGCTGAACTCAGCGGAACAGCCAGTCCTCCAACGCAGCGTGCACTCCCAGCAAGGAGGATTTTGTTCAGACAACTGGAGCATCTAGAACACTGCCTGGCCCGGCAGGTAACAATTCCCATGGTCCCTAACCCCCGACAGCTTGACTTACTGCTCCTCACCCTCACAGTGATGCAGAAGCGGTCTGCATCAGAGACACCGTAGTTTGGATCCTCCTCTTTGCCCAGGCTAGCCATGTGCCTGCCGTAGGCGTCCCTGGGCACTGGCAGCAGCTGCAGCCACCACTCAGCCCCACGATTCGGAGGGTAAACCACCGTCCACACACACACAGCCGTCTTCTCACTTTCAGTATTCAATAAGCCACACGAGGCAGTCGACACCGCACTATGAAACAGGCTTTGCAGATGAGTTTTCCCTACTGCCGGCTGACGACGGAGGTCGGCTGAGCAGATTCAGTAAGTTAGAGGTGTTTTAAATGCATTTATGACTTCGAACATTTTCAACTGTCACAGGCACGTACCACCACCACAAGTCAAAGATCTGTACACGCCTTATTCGGTGGGAACGCCCCTAGGACTTCCTATTTCAAAATACCTCATGAATTTACCATTTCCACCCCCAAACAGAGGTTCCTAAGACCCAGGGCAATGATTACATCTGTCGTAGCTGGCCTCCAACTCCTGGGTCAGTACCCTGTGGAAGTCCTGCACAGCACCTCGTCTGCTTTCCTTCAACATACCTCTGTCCTTCACTGGCGCCATCTGCCTCACCTTCCCTGGAAGCCTCCCTGGAGCCCAGCCTGCCCAAACACAGAACCACAGTCCTACAAAAGTAGCAGTATGCGACATTTTTCTTTTGATGGTGACCTCAAAAGACCCTTCAGCATATGACTAAAAGCAAGGGGCTTCTTTTCAGAATGCGCCTCCACAAAGAAATCCTTGAACATGATTTTAACTGGACAGAGATCCCATTCATGGACCAGGAATCCCTGTATTTGAAGACTCTGGAGGATGCCTAGCAGTCTTACGGGCTGTGTTTATCTAACCCTCCGCTCTCCAATGCAGCAGCCACAAGTAGTGCTTTAGGGTCAACTGAAGTTGAATAAAATTAAGATTCAGTTCTTTAGTCAGACAACAGGCTCCAAGGTCACAGGGGGAACCCGTGATCCTATCCTCAGAGAAGATCCCATCAGACATGCCGATCTAGAAGGAAAACGCCCTGACGACCACCGGTGCACAGATCAGATCACCACTCCCAGCCCACACCCCCCCCACCCTGAAGTCCCCTCTCGTCCTGCTGTTACTTAGTGGCTTCATGGGCCTAGTTCAGAGTCTCCGCAGAGCTGCTGGAGATTGGGTGTGACGGGGCATTAACCTCTTGGCAATGAGACACTTTTGCAGGGCTTTAAGGAGCTCCCAGCTGGGAACAGCTCCTCAGACCTTGCACTGTCCCTCCCCTTTTAGGCTCTGACACACACCTGACAGCTGAGAGGGTCGGAGGAGGGGAGAGCCACATGCAAGCCCCCGGGGCGCACGACAGGACTGCGTCTCTGTCCTGCGCGGCTAACTCCAGCCTTCAGGTGGAATGTGTCCCTTTGCTGTTGGCCCCGAGCCTGGCACAGGGCTGTGGGCACACAGTCTGCCCCCCCGCCGGGGTGTGTGCGGGTGCTCACCTTCTGCATGCTCAGCCGCAGTTCTGATGTTCTTATGCTTCCGTCAGCAAACCTCAGCTTGTCAAGATTCATGACAGACTCTTCCCCGGCATTTGGTTTGATCGGGGGAACTTTATCTCCTTAAGAAACACAGACAAAACGCTAGAATTTAATGGAGTTGGGAAGATGTACACATAATCTGAGCTGATATTCCACCTGGACCACCTGAGCCCTAAGGCACCACATACTGATGGAGCCAAAGGGTAAACATGAAGTCAAATCTCTGGCAAGGAGTAGGTATCCAGTAAGAAATCTCTGAACAAAACAGAAACCATTCCTAAGTTTAAAAATTAGATTTATGCATTATTACTCTACTGAATGGAAAACTGGCACCTTCCCGATAGCGAGCAGCTTCCGAAAATTCTGCCAACGTGCCCCACCCCCACCAATGATGGTCCTCACTCAGGGATGAGGGAGAGCCTGGCCAGGCATGTTTAAAAAACTCTCCTGCTGATTCGGACCTCTGCATCTGCTTACCTAAACCTCATGATATGTTTCTCTGACTTTTCTAAAAAGATAAATGTTTTGAAAATTTAAAATATTTTAAAGTTTTTTTTTTTTTTTATTTGACACAGAGAGAGAAAGCTCAAGTGGACAGAGAGGCAGGCAGAAGGAGAGAGAGAAGCAGGCTTGCCACCGAGCAGGGAGCCCAATGTGGGGCTCGATCTTAGGACCCTGGGATCATGACCTGAGCTGAAGGCAGCCGCTCAACCGAATGAGCCACCCAAGTGCCCCCGAAAACTTAAAATATTTTAAAATTTTAAAATGTTTTAAAATTTTTCAAAGTTTTTTTCTTTAAATGACATTTGGAAATGTATTTTCTTCAGTAGGTAATATGGGAGAGGGTATGAAATGAGGAAGCAAAGGTCTGCGGGTAAAGCAGGGTTGCTCATAGCCGCGTTCCACAAGGAGCGAAGGCGGCACCAGTCTCTCGTGTGACCCACCCCAGCTCTTCCAGGCCAGCTGCGGTCTCTGCTTTTATTTGTAACGTTTCTTTAAAAATGGTGATCATCGGGACGCCTGGGTGGCTCAGTTGGTTAAGCGGCTGCCTTCGGCTCAGGTCATGATCCCAGTGTCCTGGGATCAAGTCCCATATCAGGCTCCTTGCTTGGCAGGGAACCTGCTTCTCCCTCTGCCTGCCTCTCTGTCTGCCTGTGCTCGCTCGCTCTCTCTCCCTCTGTCCCTGACAAATAAATAAATAAAATCTTAAAAAAAAAAAAAAAAAAAAATGGTGATCATCTGGGGCTCCGGGTGGCTCAGTCAGTTAAGCACCTGACCCTTGGTCTCAGCTCAGGTCTGATCTCGTGGTTGTGAGTTCAAGCCCTGTGCTGGGTTCCACAGTGGGCATGGAGCCTACTTAAAAATAAATATATTGAAAAATTAAAATAAAAAAAAATTAAAATTGAAAAGTGATCATTTACCAAAATTATTTTTCTCTAGGTGCACAATTCTACAAATTTCGACACAGGTATGGGTTCCCGTAACCATCACAATTCAGGTACCGAATAAGATACATAATCAGGGTACAGAACGTTTAAAATTCTCATGTTTGGGAGGATGTAGCAACGTTTTTCCTTCCCTTTCTGGTTTTAAAAGTTGTAAAGTACGGGGCGCCTGATGGCTCAGTTGCTGGGCGTCTGCCTTTGGCTCAGGTCGTGATCCCAGGATACTGGGAAGGAGGCCCCCGTCAGGCTCCCTGCTCAGTGGGAAGGCCCACCGCGATAGAATGGCAGCCACTGAGCCATCTTATTCCCAATTTTGTCTCTTCCATTATGTTATACAAGTAAAACCTGAGGTGTGTGGCCTCTGGAGCCCGGATCATATGACCCAACACGTCTGGGGTCCATTTGTGCTACTGCATGGACGAGTACCTTATTCTGTTTTTAATCACTAACTTAAAAAATATTTTTGAAGTGTGTATCGATCCTTCAGATATAAAAGTACAAAATATTTTAATAAAACTTCCTTTTTCTCATTTTCGAACAAAGGGAAGCTCGAACTTTCTGCTTTGCTCGGAGATCTGATTTCAGGCTTCACCACTGCAGTGCAGTGAGCACTGATTCTCTGCCAGACTAGGGGATCCGACTGTTGCCTTTGCAGCAGACGGGGACAGGGCCCACCTCTGCCCATCAGCGACTTGGTCGGAGTAAGGGAGACGGCGTCTGAAGGGGCAACCGTCACGCGCATCTGCTGACTGCGGGCGGGACTGCGGGCGGGACTGCGAGGGTGGCGCGTGATGTTGAGGGCTGTGTTCAACTAGCAGGACAGTAAGACCTCCCCCAACGTAGAATCCATACAAAAAGCTTTTGTTCAATAGAAACAGCAGAACTGAGACTGCACGGTCACCACCAGTGAAGCCTAATGGGCAGAGCCCAGGGATCCCATCGTCCTACTCCTGGGAACAGTGTCTTCATGTCACCTGCAATCCTGAGCGAAGAGGCCACGGGAACCCACACAGAGACCTCTGGAGATCCCCGTGACAGTGCACGTCCTGGCCCCGGCAGGACTCGCGCTTCCAGCACGGGGCGCTGTTCCCTCAGGTTATTAGGTGACCAGATGTTCCCTCAGGTTATTAGGTGACCAGACGAGCACAATCACGGACTGAAAACCACCGTGACGCCGCAGGGACACCTGTGCCCAACCCTTTGTGCGCATTACGCTCTGCTTTAACAGACCATTTACTTTTTTTTTTTTCCCCAGAAAAACCAAAGTTACTTTTCCTAAGTACTGAGAACTTACATATAGTCACACGGACTGTGTAAAATATTCCCTTGCGAGTAGTGATCTGTAACAACCAAGCACCGTGGGACACACTTCCTCTCGAAACAACTCCCTCACAGGGGCTTTTCTAAAGAGAACATTAGCGACCACAAAACAAGATCTGACCAAAACCAGGTTATCTTCTAAATTGTTAAGACCCTCACCCAGCCCGTATCCAGTCTCGTCTGTCACAATATAAATCTCTGAATCACAGTTTCTTCACTTACAGGCAGAAAAACCAGACCACCCCCCATGATCACTCAGCAGATTTCCAACAAATCAAGACATGGTAACCTATCACTTCCCGAAACAGCCCGAGTCCCTGAAGAAAACATGTACCAGGTCTGCAGGACTCTGCGATACTCAGGGCACACGCCCTGCCGAAGACGACCAGGTCCAAGAGCGAGTTCGCCCCGAGGCGGTTGGCACCGTGCACAGAGGCGCAGGCGGCCTCCCCACAGGCATACAGGCCGGGCACGATCTGATCCTGGCCGTTCACATGCCTGAGGACCTGTGGAAGGAAGACTTCAGACTTCAGGAGCACGGTCTGCAGAGCCCTCCTTCCCAGGACGGGGGCGTCTGCCTGCAGGCTCGGAGGAAGGACGGCAGGTAAGGACCAGACCTGCGTCGTCTACAGGGAGCCCTCTGAGTCTGCACCCGGACACTCAGCCACCCCAGGCAGTCAGGTCAAAGGACCCCACATTGGCAACACCTGTCACTTCACTCCCACATCTACTGCTCATTACAAACCTCGTTCCCCACCCGACTGACACCCCCCCCCTCACTTCCACACTCCAGCTCTGGATTCTGATGAAGGGAAGGGAGTATGGAGCATTGCTTGTCTACAAAGTGGGGAGGAGCGCCCCAGCCACCTCATCGGAGGAGAGGCAAAAAAAAATCACAAACCAAAAATCCCTGGGTGGACTGCAAGCCACCCACAAGTATGTGATGTGAGGAGAATATGATTTACAAGGTCACAGTAAAAGTAACAAGAGATCAGACAAGGAAAATAAACTATAAACTGGGAAAAGCTGCAGATACTGTGTCCATAACCGTGTGCTCTGGAGGGGTCGCTGAGTCACCGGTGACTGCTCGTCCTTGCAGAGTGAGGGCAAACGCTAGCATGTGCCCGGGCCCTGCTCTGCCCTCCAGCAGCGACTGTGCTGAGGGAAACATCTGTACGATGTTTCTGTATTTTCTGGGTCCAGAGGGACAACTGTGAGGTGGGCCTGTCATTCCTGCCCTGCTCCCCCCTGTGGAAGGGTCCCAGCTTGGTCACCTGCCCCTTGTAGTTGGTGGGAATGCCACCCATGTTGTAATGCACAGTGGGAAGGACGGGGATCGGCTCCTTAGTGACATCCACGCCCGCGAAGATCATGGCCGTCTCCGAGATGCCCGGCAGGCGTATGGCCAGCTGCTCCGGGGGCAGGTGGTGCAGCTGCAGGTAGACGTGGTCCTTCTCCGGGCCGCAGCCTCTGGTGGAGGAGGACATCACGGGGGGGAGAGCAGTAAATACAGAGGATGTGAGACCACAAAGTCACTGAAGCATATCAGGTTCCCCTTTTCTCAGGCTGTACGGAATGTCCCCTCACTTGTGGTCATCCATTCTTCACGTCTTTTCCGAGCACCTACCCTGGCGGAGGGGACTCCACATGCTGGGACACAGCCAGAACGTGGACAGACACTCTGCCCTCACCGGGCTCACACTCCGGTCTTGGGAAGTCAGTGTGTTTCCCTTGATAAATGGGTTAGGAAGTCCTTCGAATGCAAATACTGCAAATATAACGTGTCTAGAGGCCGTAACCCCAGAACTCTGACAAGAAGCAGCGCAGTAAGGCAGCGCGGACATGGAAGAGCCGACGCTGCTTCGGGGAACACCACGGGCTCGCGCACAGCAGGCCCCCAAGCCGCATCCGCGGCCCACACGCTAACTTCAGACTGCCGGCATGTCGGTCTCTGTCACAGCACTCACTCACACGCACACAATGTTCCACAGACTTGAGATTTAGGTCAGACCAGCCCAACTCCCCAAAATGCTGGTCTCTAGGGCGACATCACAGAGCGACAGTCAGTCAGAGGGCAGCAGGAGGCTGCTCGCAAGCTACAGAGCTGGGAGGAGGCGCCCAAAGTCACACACAGTCACACCAGCCCATGTTAAGATGCGGACACGAACAGCAGCCACCAAAAGAGAAAGCAGGGGTGTGGGTGTGGGTGTGGGTGTGCGCGTGCGCTCAGACACCTCTGGAGATAATCACACAGACCTTCCTTCCCGGATTTCCAGAGTCATGGACCGAGATACAACGTCTCTGGATGCCAAATCCTTTGCCACCGGGGCATAGCGCTCCATGAACCTTTCGCCTTGACTGTTAATGAGAATGCCTCCCTCTCCACGACACCCTTCCGTAATGAGACAACCAGCGCCATATATACCTGCAAAGAACCCAATTAATTAGCTCTTTCTAACTGAACAACTGCTAGGTCTAGATTTCAAACGCAAATTTTTTTCAAGATATTTTTGGGGAAAGGAAAAGGGTATGCAAAGGGCATTGTGCTCTCAAGAGAGTAAGACAAAAGAAAGATTAAGAAGAGTAGATAAGATTATAGTCGATATAGTAGATAAGATTAAGAAGTTCCGGTAAGGAAAAGCACAAAGCAGCAGAACTGCCCCGCTGACCTGAGAATTCCAAAGACAACCGTTTAAACTTCCAACACAAGCAAGCACTCGTTAAATTCATGTTTTGTTTTCTTTTTTTTTTTTTTAAGATTTTATTTATTTGACAGAGACATAGTAAGAGAAGGAACACAAACAGAAGGAGAGGAAGAGGGAGAAGACTCCCCACCCAGCAGGGAGCCCGATGTGGGGTCGATCCCAGGACCTGGGAGCAGGACCGGAGCAGAAGGCAGAGGCTGAACAACTGCGCCACCCGGGTGCCCCTGTTTTCATTTTACAGCATTGCCTTGTGCCACGAAATTGTGACAAGGTAGGAAAACCAGCTTGGAAAGTTCCTATCTAAACTCACTAGTAACGGGGCGCTTCATGCTTACAAGTGGAATTCAGAATCTTCAGACATTTTTTTACTTAAAAACAGTAATTTAAAAAACTACCTAAGGTGGCTCAGTTGGTTGAGCGTCTGACTCTTGGTAGAGCCCCAGATCTCGCTCTGGGCGCTCATCGAGGAGAGGGCTTGAGAATCTCCCTCCTCCTCGGCCCCTCCCCCCACTCGTGCACTCTGTCACTCTCAGATAAATAAATAAATCTTAAACAAAACAAAACAAAACAAAACCAAGCCTGGGTGGCTCAGCAAGTTAAGCCTCTGCCTTCGGCCCAGGTCATAATCCCAGGGTCCTGGGATCGAGCCCCGGATCTGGCTCTCTGCTCAGCGGGGAGCCTGCTTCCCCCAACTCTCTGCCTGCCTCTCCGCCTACTTGTGATCTCTCTGTCAAATAAATAAATAAAATCTTTAAAATAAATAAATAAATAAGTATTTAAAGAAATTTTAAAAACAAAACTAAACTACCTAAAACATTTTTTTATTTTTCATCCCTGCCAGGGATCGGAAAAAACAGACTGACAGAGCAAAGAGAAAAAAACCAGCTCGGGTTCTTTAGCAAGGTGGGGAGCTACATGTGGTGTTCCCTCAACTGACAGGCTGGAAAAGCAACAAGAAACCAAGTCCAGAGTGAGACTCGTCTCTCTCAAGAGGCAGTCACTTCTGGGTAAGGGGCTCTCTCAAACCTGCACCCCCTGCACAGACCTCCCTTTTGAACCCCACATTCACACACTCAACTGTCTGAGGACCCGAGACGAGCTCAATCTGCCAGGACTGGGCAGTCAGTCATCAACACCTCAGGGGTCCCGTCTGCCACAGCTCATCCCAACTTTATACTCTCCTACTGTGACAGCCTGCTGTTCTCCCTACAACCCTGAAATCTGCCCACGCCACAACTCTGGTCACCAGTGTCCCCCCCGGCTATCAGGACACCCACTCAGTAAACACTGCCAAGGTCCTACTGTGTGCCAGGCACTGTGAACACAGCCATACCTGCCCCGGCCTTTACGGCTATAGGACTGGAGCAGGTACCATCGAGGCAAGAGGCAGAGTTAATCAAGCTGGTGCCCTAAACTGACTTGGGGGAAGCAGGGAAAAACCTCCTTGAGCAAAGGACGAGCTGGGCTCTGGGAACCTGGGAACCGGTCCGCACAGGGAAGTGCAGAGGAGCATCAAGAGACATGGGGGAGCTCAGAAGACACGAAGAGCCCGGGCCGCACTGAAGCGGTCCTGTCCTACCTGTGGGGTGGAACTGCACGAACTCCAAGTCCTGGCAGGGAAGGCCTGCCCTGGTGACCATGGCTGTGCCGTCACCGGTGCTGGTGTGGGCAGACGTGCAGCTGAAGTAGGTGCGGCCGTAGCCTCTGGGAAACAGACGGGCAGCAGAGAGAGAACGGTGATGCACAGGGAACCCTCGGGTCTGCCCTTCTGACGGCGCCAGAGTGGACAGAGCGGGCCAGCAGCAGTTGCAGGTGCTGTGGTCCGCGCCCCGCTGGGCAACCGGGCTGGGAGCCCGAGCGACAGAGAAGGCACTCTCTTTTGTACCTCAGTGTGCTTTGGTGCCGAGCGACTTCCTGATAAGCACGTGCTACGTTAACACTAAAATGTTTAATGTCTACGGATCCACACTTTTAAAGGTTTAAAATAACAAACTGATGGTGTACGAAATGGAATTTACTTATTTTCATCCTGTGAACAAACTACCCCAGAAAATCAGTACACAGTACCCACTAAAGCAAAAGAAGTTGGTCCAGAAAATGTCATGTGCCTCCCCAGACCCGTTTCTTCAAGGGTCCTCCCAGGTGTGAATGGAGGATACGTCCCTGCCCACCCGAGGCAGCTGCCATGACTGGCCCCTTCAAAGATAGAGACCGGAGGCTGGCAAAGCTTACTGTGCTGCTGGGTTAGGTCACTACCTGTGATACCTGGGATTAAACCACTATTCCATAGTGCCTCCATCTTTATTTGAAGAAACTGAGACCCAACTTCCCTACAGAGAAATTAAATACAAGTCAGACTCCTACCCGGTAGCCACAACAGTGTTCTTGGCTCTTATGCGATGGATGGACCCATCTTCTATGCACAGTGCAATAACACCACGACATTCCCCATTTTCCATCAGGAGATCCAAGGCAAAGTACTCCACAAAATAGCTGGTATCATATCGCAGAGACTAAAAAACACGAGAGAAGAACCAGGTTCCCCCGGTCGCAATTGCATTCGCGCTGTTGACGCCTCAGCAATTCCGCTCACGTGAGCAGTCCGAGGCCCTGATCCGGTGTGTAACGAATGGACAGCGTAAACTCTAGGAGAGCACCAGCTCGTCCCATCAACCGCAGCACTGATGCTGCTGTGTAACCACCAACAGGCAGCCTGCTCTCAGGTGTATGACCGGAACGTGAGGACACACACGTGTCACGCACACCACAGAAGACCACGCAGCTGCTCTGTGAAAGGGCCCTCACGAAACTGTCGGCTCCCCCACGCGACACACAATTCCGCCGGATGGGCAGATCCTGTCACACATCTGTCAGTGCACTCAGCCAGAGAAGCCACCGGTGCCCTAACATTTGTAAGTCAATACTTTGTCGCCATCTGGAAGCAACGGTTCAGAAAACGATTATTCTCAGTGTTCTGATACTTCAGAATGCGGATTATCTGGCTATGCCCAAGTAGGCCCTGATCATCCAGTAACTACTGCCCCCAAAGCTTAGTCCAGTCTGAGCAGGTAAGTACGCAAACACCCAGTTCAGGAACTCAGAGGTGCTGAGGCATAAAGTACTCATTCGCTTCCTACACCTCAAGTGTGGCAGGCCGCAGACCGCCAGCTCAAACACAGCACGTAACGACTGTAAGTTCCATTTTCTAAAGCAGACACCTCCTCATTAACAATCACACAATTACTATACACATCTACCACGTTCCTCGGATGTTTATGAAGTGACCCTGGGCGTGACACTCTGACATTCCGACCTGTCCCCAGGGTGGCCTGTTTCCGGCTCACCCCACACGCCCGACCTAACTAGACTGTATCCCGTCAACCTGCACACCGAAGGCAGCCTCACCCTCCCATACAACGTGTGCAGCAGGGAGTGGCCCGTGCGGTCAGCCACGCAGCAGCACCGGTGGGCCTGCCCGCCTTTCCCAAACTTGAGGCTCTGTCCGCCAAAAGCACGCTGATAAATCTTCCCATCTTCAGTTCTGCTAAACGGCATGCCGTAATTCTCCAGCTGGAAAATATAAAACAGACACCTCGTACCTTGTAGGAATCAGGACATTCACGGCTACTTTACATGAAACAATTTCAACATAAACCTGCAAACCCCCAACCAATACATTCTATGAAAACTTCAACACTTTGGAAAAGAGAAAAACTTCGATATAAAATGAACTGAATGGTTAATGACAGAAAAGATTTCCCTTGTTCCATCCACTCGTTACCCTTCTTTGGGCGGACCCCATTGGTCTCAAATTCTCTTCTGTATTAGGAACAGACCACGTGAGGACACTACCTCTACCACAGAAGCAGGGGCCTGCTCTGTCATGTAGTGGATGGCGTCCTGGTCCCCCAGCCAGTCGGAGCCCTTCACAGTGTCGTAGAAGTGCCACCTCCAGTTGTCCTCCTCCATGTTCCCCAGGGCAGCATTGATCCCTCCCTGCAAACAGAGAGCACCCTTACAAGCTGCAAGAAGGAGCCCCGGTGGCATTTTCCAGGCTCGTCCTTTGCCTCCTGCCCCAGAACTGGGTTCAGAGAAAGCCAACCGCTTTGACTTAACAGTCTGTAAGGGTCCTGAATGCAGTCCGGTCACAGGGCCTCCCTCCGCCTCAGTCGCCTCACCTACAAGCTGTCTGGAGGGTTAAGTGAGGTTCCGTATGCGACACTCATCACTTCCCAACCTGGCACACAGAAGGTACTCAACAAATCTATCTGGGATAATTTTATGATGAAATGTTCGCAGCGGTATCTATGGGCATATGGTAAAGGAGTGTTTACTGTCAAGTCAGAGTCAGAGAAAACGGCAGTACAGGACAGACGTAATGCTTGCACTTTTCCTCTCCAACTTAAAACTGCAGTACCCCTCTCTTTTTCACAACTAAAGGCACAAAGAACCTCCCCCCCTGTTTTTCAATCATTCCTCAGTCCCAGCTTCTGAGTTAAGCAACCCACACTTGAACCCTTTTCCCACTTGGCGCTACTAGGCCTTGATTTCCCATTATGTTTAGTCCCCAGGAAAACAGTCCCTAGCACAGAGCCAGGAATCCTGTAATAGACATGCAGCAAAGTTACTACATTACTTCCTCCTCCTTCTCCACCCCTTCAACTATAAGCCCAAACTCAATTCCGGTGAGAAATGTGAAGTACCAGAGTAGCAGAACGGAGAAAACCTAGTTCAAAATAACACAGAAGTACTCGGCCCGGTGCACGCACAGGGGCTGTTATTTTACTGCTACTACTAGGAAAAATCAGGGCCACAGACAGCTCGTCTTCCTGGAATCCCAGCTGCACAATTTTGTTTTCTTAAAGTAATCCCTGCATCCAACGTGGGGCTCAAAGTCTCAAGTCCAGGATCAGGAGCTGTGCGCTCCGGCCAAAGCCACCCAGGCGCCCTGCGGGAGTGCACTCCAGGCTCTCCAGGACGCCAATCGCACCCTTCCCCCAGTTACACCTATTTTCTCCAGAACCAATATCCAAGTTACCCATTTCTTACTCTTTTTATTATATTAATATTACATTATTGGAACCCCCTATTATTTTGCATTTATGTTTACAGCCATTTTTTCTTTTAGATAATATATTCTCCAAAGGTGTATGTTATTCATTTTTCAGTTTACAAAACATCACTTCAGGACCAAGTTACTTGGGCAGTTAAGTGCCTGAAGAATGTTGCTGGCACTGAATACAGGCTACAGCAGTAATTAGGGCGGCTTTTATTGGCTCCTGGGAAGTCACTATGTACTCTGCTATCTCTATAAGGAAATGTGTTTCAAATACTGGAAAAAACAGTCCAGTATGATTTTGGAATACTCAACTGGGATACCACCTACAGTGTGCCAAGAAAGAAAACGAAATTACAAAATCACTGTGTAACAGTTCACCTTACTTTTATCCTCCTCCCTAAATTCCGAGCATTTAAAGGTCAATGCTCTTCCATCCTACGCATTTGTGCCATCACCAGAGCTCCTCAGCACCATATTTACCGGGGCCTGCACCAAGGCTGAGGCAATAAACACAAGACTCAGGGCCAACGGCAGCAAGACTGGAGACGAGCTCGTTTCAGATGGGGGGAGTGCGGTGAAGACAACTGTGATGTGGGGAGGGGTCTAGGCGGGTGCTCGAAGAAGACCTGAGTGTAACTGGAGCAGGAAAGAGTGCAAGAGGCCCCAGAAGCAGCTCTGGCTGGAGGTAAAGGCAGTGTGAGCGGTGTGAGCACAGACCCTCAGAGGTGAGTGAGCCAAATGGGTGCAAGGAGAGACAAACGGGGCTAGAGCGTGGCAGGAAGGAGGACTGTGGCAAGAGACTGTGCTCGGCTGTAGTGCCCAAACCATGAATGGAGCCCCCTCCTCTTACCTGGGCTGCAACGGTGTGTGATCTGGTAGGAAAGAGCTTTGTGACGCAGGCCGTGTTAAACCCAGCCTCGGAAAGGCCAAACGCAGCTCGCAAGCCTGCCCCTCCAGCACCAACCACCACTGCATCAAATTCATGGTCCACCACTGGATACTGCGTAGAAATCTGGGAAGGAACAATTCACCTATCAACCAAGGACCGTGGGTGCAGCATAAGAGCTTGGAGAAAACAGAACGGGCGATGAGAACAGCTTCGGCGAAGAGGGACCTCCACCCTGTGGGGCCCCACAGAGTGTGACAGGGACAGCCCAATGGACAGGGCCAACACACAGAGTAGCCAAAAGGACAGCACTCATCCTAGCACCCGGGAAACTTAAGAGGGTCAGCCTCGGGGCGCCTGGTGGCTCAGTGGGTTAAGCCTCTGCCTTCGGCTCAGGTCGTGATCTCGGGGTCCTGGATCAAGCTCCGCATCAGGCTCCCTGCTCAGGGAGCGTGCTTCCCCCCCCCCTCTGCCTGCCTCTCTGCCTACTTGTGATCTCTGTCAAATAAATAAATAAAATTAAAAAAAAAAAAAGGGGGACAGCCTCAGCAAGGAACTGTAGATGCAAAGAACAACACAAATCAAAGTATTAGTTCTAAATATGGCTTTTCTATTCAATTATCTTTTCATGTTTGTAGCAATATATACACACGTATGTTTATGTGACTCTAAGCTCACAGTGCAGTGTAGACCATGATTTCCCACCTAGATCGGCAAGATTCCCGTGAGGATGTTAACGTGGTGTTTCCCCCAGGTAAGCACATTTCCGGTCCACTTGGGCAACCACCTCAGCACTGAGGACCAGAGCCCTGTCTCAGGACCATGCTTGTGCTTGCTTGAGATGGGGCCCACCAGCAGTCAGTAACTACTGGAGCTAATGAGAAAGACCTGTGAACAAAATGTGTCCCCAGCAGAGAACGGACGGGACCAGCGAACACAAAGAGGCTGCACTCAAGTGGCTTCACGGTCCTGTGTCGTCTGTCACAGTAAAAAGGGCTCATCTGTTACTTGTGTTTATTATTTTGCTGCTGTGACTTAAACCTTACTCTGGCTCATAGATGCCTAGGAACTACAAGCAGAAAGTGCTGGTGACCGTTCTTACACCCGTACCACAACTAGGTGCTATACACTAACAATAATTTCAGCACCACTGGAATGAGAATTTTTTCCTTTAAACAGGAACTGTGTATTATTCCAATGTACTGAAAACTGGTATAGATCATTACTTTCTAAACCAAGGATGTCATTTTTAAGGGAACAAAAGTTGTAAACTTACTGAATCGGAAACTTTAGCAGAAGACCTTTTATTCCCGTCAACAGTGAAGTGAAAACCGCGGGTGCCGGTCTGCCATGTCGCTGGCCACTGCTGAGACACAGATGGAGAGCATTAAGTGTCTTGAACAAGAAGGATCGGCCATCAAAATCTCCCCTGAAGTCATTAACCCTTTCAGCACCCTGGTGCTCCCTCTTCACCTAGACAGCTAAGCTGGGGTCCTCTACTTAATTAACCCTGATGGGTACGGAAGGACTAAGGACCCAGGGCAGGCCTAACTGGCACGGACTTGGCACCCCAGGAAAAGCCCTCCTGAACGAAGTTTGTTTCCAAAGAGGACACTCACAGACTCAGAGAGGAAAAGGAACAATTTCACATTAATTTCTTAATTTAGGGTTCTTCATAGAGAATGGGAAAGGTATCTATTTTTGCTCAAGTGGCAGTTTGTGAACAATGAAGCACTTTTACTAGATGCGTCGGCGACTCTCTTCACCCTAGAGCACCACACAGCTTCAAGGCCATGCAGTTCACCGGAACGGGCGCTAGACAGCTGTCGGAAACGCCTTTTCTAGAAGACGCTGTCTGGTTTTGCGACACCTGGGCACCAATGGGATCAGCCCTTCACTGTTAACGCCAGGACCCCACGCCTAGAGACGCTCACAGTCTTGCTTCCCCACTCTCCACATTCGTGCTGGGCTCGAGGGACGTCCCCTCTCATCTGTCCCAACTCCATGGTGGTGTCCCTCTGTCTTTGACACGTATCTCTGGCCTTTCCCTGGCTAAACCTTACAACTCTCGAAGTTTGGGCTTAAATGCCCCACCCTATCAACACTCACTCAAGAAAAGTGGTATTAATGAAATCAAAGCCCAACATGAGGCCACATTCTACATACATGAACCAATTTATGAGTCCTGTCTTTCCACTCTGCTGACCGCATCTTAGAAAACTACAAATAAAGTAAAATTTTAGCCATCTCATAAAGAACAGTTGTACATTTAACAGTGACAGAAGGGATGCGAGAGATGTTTTAAGCATTCTGCCATTTGGAAGAGACGGTATTTATTCTGTGGGGTAAAAAAAAAATTTATTCCATAGGACAAACACGTGGGGAATACACGAAGGAGAACAGCAGAATGCAAAACGAACCCTAACTGAGCAGTTTTGAACTGAAAGACTTCCTTCCGAGATTAAGGGACTGAGGCCAAGACTGGAGGGCTTGGCCACTTGCAAAGCACAGGTGCCTCCAACCTCTAGGCTTCCTCCAGCTCTGAGGGAAATGATTGACACCAACAGTTGACTTAATGCTAACTCTCCATTACAAAGAATCTGTTGGATTTCTAAGTAGATCTGAACTGATAAAAGCAATATTCTGGAATTCCCCAATTTCAACTTTAAATACATTTGCTTTTATTGACATAAGCCAATTTTTTCTTTCAGAAAATTTAAAAACTACAAAGAATATCCTTGTTTTAGAATAATTTTAAAATTGGTAAAATCACATCTTAAAGAAGTCAAAGAATTTTAATACAAATGTTCTTGAAAATTTTATGAAGTACAATATAAAGGTAACAGTTCCAGAAAGAACAGTACCTTTTGCAATACCAAACTAAAATTAAAACAGAAACAGTGAGCACCCCCCACCAGCTGAGTGGGGAGGTGAGGCCATGAACGCGGCACATCTGTCCCCTCTCATCTTCTCCGGAGACCCACCGGCTCGAACCCCATAAAGGAAGACAACTTGAAACTGTCTGGGAACTGCAACGACCCGAATGGCCACGGGTGCAGTTGTAAAGATGCGACGGTACAGGGAGAGACCGATCCTGCTACAGGATGCCCACGAACCTGGCCAACCTCAAGTGTGTCTGGAGGAGGCAATTATGAAGACCGGTGACCCTAAGAATCTGCATGTGGATGGGCCATGTTTGCAGCTGCTGTAAGCACAGCAGAAAAGGTAGCCGTATGTATCTGGGAAAACTGCCAGAAATTTCTTCCTCTGGGCGTTCTTCATCAAGTAAAAGTATACAAAACTGACAATAATACAGTCATCTATAAAAGAGAATAGCTTTTAGGGGTTAATACTGTAGAAAGAATAATTTCTTTCCATATTTGAAAAAGGTTGGTGGGTGGGTAGGTAGGTTGGTTTATTTACTTATTTATTTTAGAGAGAGAAAGAGTGTGCGTTGAGTGCGGAGCCTCATGTGGGGCTCGATCCCAGGACCCTGAGACCAGGACCTGAGCTGAAACCGAGAGTCAGAGGCTTAACTGACTGAACCACCCAGGCGCCCCTTGAAAAAGGTCTTTATCCTCTTGGACTATCAAGAAGTCTTCATGTAACTGTTATACTTCCACATTGTATTCCGGAGGGCCTGATGGATTGAAATCATTGTACGTAAGACCTGTTGTGAATTCAAATCTATAAAACCAAACTTGTAAAACATCCTGAGCATCATTTAGAGTCTTTTATCAACAGATTAAAAATCACTTCATTTTCAGTAAAATGCGGTATGGAATTTAAAGGCAAAATAAATCCATTTTTGTCCTTCCATTCTCTCGTTTGTAGTATTATGTTTTTCTTGGCATAATGCGAAAAGCAAACATGTTTGTAAGACTTACAGTAGATAAACTTAAAATACATATACATGTGATGGCACAGTCTGGAGACAAAGACAACATTCACTTCTTCCTTGATGACGTTTCGAGGATTCACTCAGTGAAACAAGACACACCAATCGCCCTGGCCATGTGCTGGAGGCGGATGTACAAGGACTGAGGGACACACCACTCCTGTGCACATCGCTCGGTGCACTTTTGCACAGCCTGCTAGTGAGGAACAGCACAATCATTGAACATTTGTTGGGAGGATCAGTAAACTAGTACATTCGTCTGTTTCCAGACCTTTATGGCCACCCGTACAGTCTTAATTCAGAAAACTGAAGAATACTCCTATGTATCAAATCCCGTGACGATAAGCAACGCGGAAGGGTGTGTCATACTGTAGAGCATCTCTTACGTACAGGTTTTCCTAATCGATCCCATTTTGTTCTGATCATTAAACTTACCCGCTTCAGCTGAACTATAAAATCAATAAAATAGAGACAGTGAGATTCTGTGTTTCTTCTTTCTAGAATGTTCACGTTGAATAAGGACAGACACACATACACACGTGGCAGCTGTTATTAACGAAATCTTTCACAAATTATCACACCATCTCTCTGTGGAAAACAGAGTACTAGCTTTTCACCTGAATCAGATTTGAGGAGCAATTTTACAATTTCGAGAGCCCAATTATTAACCCAATTTGTCTTTAAACTCTTTCTGTGCCACTAACATTTTTTGAAGTAAAACTATCACACAGGACAACACAGAGAAGAATAAGGAACTCTCCCTCAGGGGTAGAAAAGCAGAAAGGGAGAAAGGCAGGAAAGCACAGGTGAATTAATGAGACAGTGAAAGGAAGAAAAAAGTGGAAAGTGTGGAGTCTAGCAAAGTGGGGTGTCCTCATCTAGTAACATACACCTGCAATCACGAAGAAGAAACTCATCTCTACAGTCAGAAAAGCAGCCCATAAAGGGTCTGAAAGTGGTTGCGTGACCACATTGGAAGGACGGAGGGTGTGGGAAGTAAGACGGTTTGCGTGAACTAAATCCTCATTTTAGGTACAGTGAGTCTTATGTCTAGGACATAAGTCTATGTCCGAAATGGGTAAAAATACACTTGCGTATTAGCTAGAAAAATGGAGGTAAACGCCAGGGGCCAATAACAGAAATAATTCAGAACTGATTCCACCGGGGAACAGGTCTGGGGAAGGAGACGGGTCTTACTCCTTTAGCCTTCTGTACTCCTTGACTCCCCCCCCACAACTAAGTGTAATTCTTTTTACCAAAAAAATAAAAGTTTCTAAAACAGGGGTGCTTGAACACCGTTCCCAAGATGACCACGTGCAGGCTGCCAGCTGCAGGCTGGGGCTCGGAGGAGCATCACGCCAGGGTTTCACGGGTCCTCTCACAGAATCCTCATTAAACCCGCAGGAAAGGGAGTCTACCCGGGGTCTGGACTCCGGTCTCCCCGGCTGGCACCAGGTTTTGTACATTCCCCCAGATAAGGAGCCTTTGGAAAAAATCCCTGCGACTCCAAAATCAGATGCATGACCTGATCACATATCAGAACCAAGCCACGGTTTTCAAGCAAACCAGGAAAAACACACAGAACGCAGAACTGAACGCCACTGCGGTATGATTACCCCAAGAAGCAAAATGAAAGGTTACTACCATGGCCTAAATAATGTAGTTCTAGATACACTGCTCAAACGAATTCAGAACAGTATGTTCAAAGAAAAGAAACGGGCTTACTCTAGACCCGCGCCCTGGATTTCCATTAAAGAGTCTGAGAAATCTCATCTGAGGCGGTTAACCAGCACGACCTCAGATCCTCGGTTGCACTTTTGCTTCCCCTACACTAGTTTAAACCGTCCGCAAACTCCATCCGTGCCTGGGGTAACCACAAACGAAACAAAGGCAAAAGAGGTCTGAGAATGTTGCAACGTGAAAGCAGCTTCAGTATGAAACGACCTGGAAACACCACAGACTTGAACAAAATGAGATGAAGAAAAATTCTCCGTGGATTTTGCTCAAACTGTCTTCAGCGCGCCCTGACCAGGCACAGATCTCGGACGGTGATCAGACGTCTCGTTTTTGTTGTGGCGACGGATGCTTCTGCTTCTGCCGATCCTAACGCCACAGAGCAGACCGCCTGGGACGGGAAAAGCTCTCCACGTCACGAGGAAGACTTTCGGGGCGCCCGGCAGGCTCAGTGGGTTAAGCGTCTGCCTTCGGCTCAGGTCATGATCCCGGGGTCCCGGATCGAGCCCCGCGTCGGGCTCCCTGCTCAGCGGGGAGCCTGCCCCCCCCGCGCCCCGCCTCTCTGCACACTTGCGATCTGTCAGATAAACAAATAAGTGAACTTTTAAAAATTTAAAAAAGAAAAAGAAAGAAAAAGACTTTCGACGCCCAAGGCCGGCTTCCAGCAGGCCCCGAGGGGCTCCGTCTTGCTGGTCGGTCTTGCCCTCAGGAGCACACGTCCCCGAGCCAAGGGCTGCGGCGCAGATCCGGGCCCTGGTCGCGAAGGGAAAGCGGCTGCAGCGACCGGCGGCCCGACCAGGACCGCGTGGAAACGAAGCCCACGCGGGGTTCGGAGCCGCTCTGCGGCGCTGCAAGCCCAGCGGGAAGGACGACGACCCGGGCAGGCGTCGGCGGGGGCGGCTCGTCTCCACAGCGCCCGGCAGGCACCGCTCCGGGCAGGGAGCCCCGCGGACGGAACACGCCGCGCTACCCGCGGCCTCCACAGCCCGCCCGCCGGCGCCCTCCGAGCGTTCCCGGAGACCACGACCTCCCGGGAGGCGGCGACCTCCGCTCAGGGCGCAGCCGGCACAGCCCCGCGCACCCGCACCAGCCCGGCCCGCAGCGCCGGCGGCCTCCGCCCCGCACACCCCGAGACCAAGCGCTCTGCGTCCCCTGCGCCGCCGCAGCCCCGCGGGGTGGGTTCTGAGGGCGTGACCCGGGACCCAGCCCGGGAGCGCGGGGTCCAGAGCGCACCCCACGGCCCCAAACCGCGCGCGGGAAGCCGGCTCCTGGCGCGCTCGTCCCAGCGCGGACCCGCAACACCCGGAGCCGGGCCCGACCCGCGCCGGTCCACGCGCTCCCCGAAGCAGTCGCTTCCGCCGACAGCCCCATCGCGGGGGTCACGCGCCTCCCGCCGACCCGCCCCAGGTCTGAGAACGCTTCCGGACCCCGAAGCCCGGGGCACCCGCGGCCGCTCCGCGTCCGAGTGACCTTGGCCGAACACGCCTCCCCGTGAGCGGAAGGCTCGGGCGGGGCGACGCTAACCCTTGAGCCCCCGAACCTCAGGCGGGGGAAGCGGCCCCGGGGCGGCACGCGGGGTCGCGACCTTCATCGCGACGCAGCCCCGCGGGCCTCTGAAAACGTCCGGCCGCCCTCGGGGTCGGCCCCACCCCTCCGGCGACCTCCGCGCCGGCCCGCAGACCCGCCTCAGGCCGTGCCGGGGCCAGGGGAACTCGGCAACCGCTTCGCCCCGCGGGCACCGTCCTGCCCCGGGGACCTCGGCCCCGCGCCCGCCCGCCCCGCGGCGCCAACTCACCGCCCTGCACAGTGCCAGGCGCCGGGCGCCCAACAGCCGAGACACCGCCCGGACCCCCGACATGTCGGTCCTCCAGAGCGCTGTCCCACCAGCCCCCGCGCCTGACTGCGCCTGACTGCGCCTGCGCATCTAGCCGCGCCCGGGCCGGGGACGAGGGGACACCGCGCCTGCGCACCACACCTCGACCCCGGGCCGGGGGCGGGGGGGGCATTGCGCCTGCGCACAGGAACGGCGGACGGTGGCGCTGAGCGGGTCCGGCGTTCCCCGCCCCGGGGTAGGTGGAGGGCCGGGCGGTGTTCGGGAGGGGCCGGGGGTCTGTGTGGGGGCCCGGCGTAGGTCGGCGGCCCAGGGAGAAGTTGGGGGGAATGTGTGTAGTTCGGGGTCGGGAGACCTCCGGGGTGGGCCGGAGGTCGGAGCAGGTCGGGGCGCCGGGCCGTGTTGAGGGGCTCCGGGGGTGGTCGGGGGTCGCGGGGGCTGGGGGTGGCTCTGGGATAGGTCAGGCCGCCGGGCCGGGTGTCGGGGTGGGGGCGGGCGCCCGGGTGACACCGGGAGCCGCAGCGGGGGCGCCGGGCCGGGTCTGGGTTAGCTCCCCGGCCCAAGGGTCTTCGCGGACTCGCCTGATCGCGCCCCCGGCCGTGAAGGGTGCGCGCCGCGTGTGTGTGTGTGAGCTGAGCGTGACGTGACCCCGACCCCGACCCCGGCCCGGAATCTCCCGGGGGGCCCGGTGGGAGGTAGACTGTCCTCAGGCCCGTGTTTCGCTTTGCGTCGTGAGGACCCTGCACGGCGGGGGGCCGGTGCGCTCCTGGTTCCGTGAGTTTTCCCAGGATCTGACGGAATGAGCGCAGCGGGGGAGCAGCAGGCGCCCCCGAGCAGCCCCACCCACCCACCCCCGCTCCATCCCAGGACTGGATCGTGACCTGAGCTGAGGGCAGAGCTTAACCACCGAGCCCCCCAGGCGCCCTATTTTATTCCCTTTTAGGTTGTTTCCAGGATCTTCGTCTTACTTAGGGTTAGGTTGACTTTGTGGGCCCGCAGGAAATGAGGGCGAGTCTGCGTAGACTCCGTGGGGAGTTGTGCGGTTGTGCGCTTTCAGATAACTAAGTTCTCATTGCATAGTTGCCGCAAACTCCTTAACCCGGTATTTTCGGCATTTCTTTATTGCCAATTAGAATTTTATATTTTTGGGGCGCCTGGGTGGCTCAGTGGGTTAAGCTGCTGCCTTCGGCTCGGGTCATGATCTCAGAGTCCTGGGATCGAGCCCCGCATCGGGCTCTCTGCTCTCTAGAGGAGCCTGCTTCCTCCTCTCTCTCTGCCTGCCTCTCTGCCTGCTTGTGATCTCTCTGTCAAATAAATAAATAAAAAATCTTAAAAAAAAAAAAAAAAATAGAATTTTATATTTTTAGGTGTTAAGTCTTTATTGAAAACGTTCTTAAAATTTTTCAGAATGGATTGGGTTCCTATTTTGTTAGTAAGCCTCCATCGTTTCTTTCCTAATCAGTGTGTATTGTTCGTCGCCGTCACATAGAAGTAAGTTGAACGTCTCATCGCTCTGTTTTGTGGAAGTGTCCGACCTAGTGTGGGTTCTTAGTAAATCGGTAGGTCCGTGTTAGCTTGAGACCCCGGCCCGGTTACTGAGAGGCAGCAGAGCTTTAAGCAGAAACATCTGTCATTACGGTGAAAATGCCACCAAAGTCAGGAGGCGTGAGAGCCTTCCTAGCACTGACCCCATCCTGGTGACACACCTCTCCGTGGCCTCGTGGGTCATCATTTCCTGAAGCGGCCAGTGTTTGCTTTCACACCTTCCTGCTGACATGTCTTGTGTCCAGCCGCGCTGGGAAGCTCTGTGTAGCGGAGATCTTCCCTCACGGGCCTCATGTTTCACTTGAGACCTCTCTCTCCCGCCTACGGTATCCCGATGCTGTCTGAGGCCTTGTGTTTTCCTCTTTCATCCTGTAAGGCTCAGTGCTACGCAGCTCGTGGGTGGACCTGAGCCAGGTACATGGTAACAGTTGTGACAGATGTGTCCTATCGTTTTATGTGGTTAATGGTTTTATTATTTACTTCAAGGTACATCTCCATGAATAACTTAAATGACCCCCCAAATTGGAATATCCGACCTAATTCCAGGGCTGACGGGGGTGATGGAAGCAGATGGAATTATGCCCTGTTGGTTCCAATGCTGGGATTGGCTGCTTTTCGTAAGTCATGGTTTTCCTCACATTTGCATTTTGGGGGGGCTGGAACTGTGGATCCCAAAGACCTTGGGCTTTGGACCCTGACAGATGCAAGTGTACGTCCTAGTGTTATCCCGTGTGGTGAGTCTGAAGCAAATTACTTAATCCCCTGAGCCTCGGGTCCCCATCCACTGAAGCGCTGTGAGTGCTGAACAAAACAAGGGGCTTGCTGGGGCGGGCTTTCGTAACTGGCCCCGGCTCCATTCCACACTTCCCACTCTGGAGGGGGCTCTCGGTTCAGTCGTCCTCATCATGACCGATGAGGGAAGAAGAAAATAGGTGTAAACAAACCAGTTTGGTCCTCTGTTTCATGTTTAGGGAGTCAGTCTTAAAACCTCTGCTTAGCCCGGCCAGCTTCTCTCCGGTCTGCATACCACTTTGGGGAAGTCACCAGTTTCCGGTCAGTTATAGTTATTCCAGCCCTAAGCTTTTATTTTCCACTTCATGATAGTTTTCTGACATCCAGGAATTGGTTTTATGTTTTGTCATATCCCACAGTTTTGGGTGCACCAAAGAGTATGAGAAACTGAGTAAGAGAATGGAAGAAAAGCACAACTGTCCTCAGTTTGCAGCGATACTTTTGTGGAGATTTATTTTATGTGCTTGGATTTCTCAGGTCAGCAGACTTCCTTAGAGGCGGTGAAGGTTAGGGAGAAGAGCGTTTATCAACTGCTCGTTTATCTGCGGTTACTGTTGGCTGGGCGGGGAGGCTGGTTCACACCCATGTTTGGCAATATAATTTCTATTTGTTTATTTACTTATCTATTGGAGGGGCGACCTGTGGAGAGGGGCAGAGGGAGAGAGAGAATCTCAAGCAGGCTCGCCAGTGAGTGTGGAGCCTGATGCAGGGCTCGATCGCACAACTCCGGGATCATGACCCGAGCCAAAGCCAAGAGCCATCCAAGTGCCGCTTGGCAATGTAATTTCTAAACTGTGCAGTAAGACATTTTTGGAGAATCCTTACAAGAATGCAGAGATTAAAGTTTCTGTGATCATGCTAGCTAAGCAAGACAACGAAGAAGAAAATATAAAATATTCACTGATTCTTCTCAGGGACAGAAAGCAACGTTTCAGAAGTCCAAGAAGGCAAGAACTCAAAAGTGAAGGCTGTTATGAAAGGCCATACAAGTTAGAGTCTGGAAAACAAAGGGAACATGGGAGTCGCCCCAGGGCCTGTCCCAGCCTCACGACTAATTAGTCATTGTTAGTCCTGTTAAGCCTCCCAGTTCCCTCACCAGGTTCATCACCCTGGCCACAGGCGAGGGCAGCGAAGGGTAGGGAGAGCTTTGGGAGACGGCAGGCTGCTGAGCTTCTAAGTGGCACGACCCGTGCGGCTGAGTTTGGATCTGTCCGGTCTCTGACCTAGGAGCAGGCACTGTGCACATCACGGAATCGTAAAAAGCACCCGCTCTTCTCAGCCTCCATGGGAGTCGGCGTTTAGCTTTTTAAGAACGTGCCCAAACGGTTTCCAGAGTGCTGGGACCATTTTGCAGCCTCATCAGCACCGTGTGAGCTCACTGTTGTCTTGGAATTGGGCCCATTCTGGTTTCTGTTCCGTTTCCCTGAGCGTGACTAACGTTGACCATCTTTCACGTTCCTGTTTCTGTTATAGCCTCCTCCACGGCATGTCTGTTCCTGTCTTCCGGCCATTGCCTAATTGCATTGTGTTTTTGGGTTGAGTTTTGAGAGATTTTTATTAGATTCTAGTATTTTTTTGGCTATCTAGTTTGCCGGTATCTTTTTCCACTCTGTAGATTGTTTTTTTGTTTTGTTTTGTTTTGTTTTATTCTCTAAATGGAGGCTTTCACAGAGCGAAGGTTTTAATTTTGATGAAGTCCAGTCTTGGTTTTTTTCTTTCATGGGTCATGCTTCTCCTCCTGAGAGCATTTTGCCTAGCCCTAGACCCTGAACGTTCTGTTCCACATTGTTTCTTGAAAGTTTAGTTTTATGTTTTACACGTAAGTCCATGATCCATTTTGAGGTTTTTGGTTTTTGGCTTTTTTTTCTTTTTTTTTTTTCAGTATAACATATGGGACTTGGGTTTTCTTTTTTCCTTTCCAGCTGTTTGCCTTCTGTTTCCTAGTCTGTTGCTTGCTTTCTTGCACGGGCTAACGCCTCCAGGCCTCCACTGAGAAGTTCCCGTCGGATGGGAGGAACTTTCCGTCTTCACCATTAAGGGCGGTATTAGCTGTGGGCTTTCATAGCTGTTCTTGGAAGGCACGGAAGCTCCCCTCAGTGTTATTTTATTTTTTGAGTTTTTTTCCCCTGTGGGTGCTGAATTTTATCACACGTTTTTCTGTATCCGTTGACGGGACCGTGTGATTTTTCTTCTTCAGACTATACATGTGTTGATTGATTTTTGACTGTTGAACCAGTCTTACGTTTTTGGAATAATCTCCGCTTTGTGGGGGTGGGGAGCTTAGGTCACGCATGATCTCATGGGTCGTGGGATCCAGCCCCATCTCTGGCTTTGAGCTCAGCAGGGAGTCTCCTGGAAGATTCTCTCCCTCTGCCCCTCCCCTGCTCCCATGCGCTTGGTCTTGCTCTAATATAAATAAATAAATCTTTAAAAACTAATCTTCAGGGGCTCCTGGGTGGCTCAGTGGGTTAAAGCCTCTGCCTTTGGCTCAGGTCATGATCTCGGGGTCCTGGGATCAGGCCCTGCATCGGGCTCTCTGCTCAGCGAGGAGCCTGCTTCCTCCTCTCTCTCTGCCTGCCTCTCTGCCTACTTGTGCTCTCTCTCTCTCTCTCTCTATCAAATGAATAAATTTTAAAAAACTTAATAAAAAAATAAAAATAAAAACTGATCTCCACTTGGTAATGGCATGTAATCCTTGTTACGTGTTGTGAAACTACTTGTGCCGTCGCCCGCCCAGGGTGTTAGGTCTGCTCACGTGGGTTGTTACTCCAGCCCTTCCGCAGGGTTCGCTCCTCTCCACATTTACCTCGGCATCACGTTTTCTACGTCAGTTACTGTATTTTTTCAGTTCAAAACCTTCATTTGCTTGTTTTGTATCTCCTTTTTCTGTGCTCAGGCTTGTGTTATCATGTCTGCTTTTCACTCTGTCAGGTGCCTGGGTGGCTCAGTTGGTTGGGCGACTGCCTTTGGCTCAGGTCATGATCCTGGAGTCCCGGGATCGAGTCCTGAGTCTAGCTCCCTGCTCAGCGGGGAGTCTGCTTCTCCCTCTGACCCTCCCCACCTCACATACTCTCTCTCTCTCTCTCTCTCTCATTCTCTCTCTCAAATAATAAAATCTTTAAAAAAAAATAATAAACTCTTTGTCAGGTAACACTAACATCTCTGTCCCCTCAGTATTGGCATCTACTGATTATCTTTTTAAGTTCTGTTGGAGATCTTTCTATGACGAGTGATCTTCGACTGAAATCTCTGTGTTTTGGGCATTATGTTATGAGACTGACCTTTATTGGGACATTCTGTGACTAGCTTTGTGGCTGGGGCTCTGGCAGGGGAGGGTGGTGTTGAGGCCTCACTCCCAGGTGGGGATGGAAGCCCAGGCTCCCCAGTCAGCCTCTGGTCCCCAGACACCAAGAGGAAGGGTCCCCTCATCACCTCTGGTCAGGAGTGGGGGTGTAGCTCCCGCAGGTTTCCACTGATGCTCCCTAGCTGGGAGAGGTAGGAGGGTCTGGTTTCTGCTCCCCACTTGGCCACCTCTGACACCACACTCAGGGGAACAGGAGGGGCTCCCATCGGCCTTTGCCCACTGGCTGGGGAATGGGGCCACAGGGACTGTGCTGTTTGGCCTGAAAGGTGTAGTTACTGTTGAAGTTCCCTGTCTTGCTAGGCCACCCTAGTAGCCCCTTGGCCAGAGAGAGCAGACCTGTGCTGGGGCTTTTTGAAAGGTCTTCACCATTGGCATTTCAGCTCCAGGTGGGGAAAGTATGAGGGAAACTGAACCCCCAGGTGATTCCCCCACCATAGTGTTCCTCAGGCCTCCAGCTCCCTTGCCGGCCTGCCCGAGGTTCTCCCCCTTTAAGAGCCCCCTTGTGTTGGTCCTACTTACAGTGTAGGGTTTGCAGGGCGGGAAGAATGGGAAAGAGTACTTCTGTTCCATTCCCCCGAAAGCAGGAGCCCCCTCTCTTCTCTGCCTTTGGAAACTGGGGCTGTGCACAGTTGTGTCTGCCCGGAGTCCTAAGGCAGCGTTCTCCAGGATCAGACCCAGACTTCAGGTTTTTCCCTTCTGCTTCCACACTTTCCTCTGCATACCTATGCGGTACTCTCCCCTGTGTCTGTCCCACCTCTTCCTGGAAGCCTTCCTGATTCAGTGGACTTCCTGTAAACACAGCCTGGGCTGTGTGGTCTGGCGTGCAGTTCTGTGTGTCCTGTATCAGTCGCCACATGTTGCGCGTGTCGGCGTGGCACCTCCGTTAGATCCTCCCTGGGTTAAGGTGGGAGTGGCCTCCTCTGCCCCTGCTGCCACCTCTGATCGTCCACTTCCTCCCAGAGCCGATGAGGACTTCTGCTGTTCCGCACCTGCTCGCTTCCAGAATGTGCCCCCGCTCCTTGCTGGAAGCCCTGCTCCGAGTCCAGGAAGCAGTGTGCTCAGGACACATGATGCCCACTTCGTCCCTGTTCCTTCTGCCTAGAGGGACCTTCCCACCAGCTGCTGCTTGTTTTGCTGGGCTGGTTCCCATTCACCTCTTTCGTGAACCCCACCCGACCGCACCCCAGACCGAATTCGTCCTTCTCTCCCCCGCTTCTCAACAGACCTCTCAGTGCTTAGCAAATGCTACTGCGATGGCTGCCCGCGTGGCCAGTTCCCCTGTCTGTGCGCTTTGGTGCGGGGAGGAGATGGAGGCTGGAGATGCGTTCGAGTTTCCATTACCCGTAGGACTGGACGCTGTTTTCCGTTGAGGAAGGGATGCGTTTGGTCTTAGCTTACAGAGTTGGGGCGGTACCAGCACTCAAGTGGAAAGGACTTTCAGGCACACGCAGATATGCCTCGGAGGGCGACTCCGGGGCGACATGGGTGGGGGAGTCTGAATGGCTAGGACACCACCTTGAGCGTTGGGGAGGGAAAAGGAGCCTCCCCGGCACTGGATTTCTCCATGTAGCAGAGGACAGAGGCCCAGCTGCTCCTCAGTCCGTCCCACGTTTCCGAGAGTCGAGTGTCCCTGGTTTGGGGAACGGGAGCCTGACCGTGTCTGGAGCGCGAACGTCTCCTCCCCTGATTTTTATGTGCCCTTGTCAGACTGGAAGCAGGATGAGCAGGCAAGTCTGCGTGCACTTTGCAATCACTCAGTTCTGTAATCACCGGCTGACCTTCCAGAAGCACAGCAGGTGGCCCTTTAGACCCTGGCACAAGGACGCGGGGCGCTGTGGCCAGAGCAGGCATTGCGGTGAGTTTGAGAGCAAAAGAAAGCGGTGCTGGATTATTTCAGCCGTAGAAGATGAGGAGGCCGGAAGGGGAAAAGTCAGCAGCCCTGCTGTCCTTTGGGAGCCCTTACCTGGTTTTAAGCTAAGAATTTTGATTAATATATGGTTTCTTACAAAACGTTATCCATACCTTTCAGGGCTTAAGATTTTATTGAAATGCCGTTCTTAGCTGCTGTGTATTTTTTCAAAATCAGGATTACAAAACCTCACCTCTGACTTTCCGTTAAGTGTGTTTTCTCCCCCAATTTATTCCTGTTAGGTTGGATTTGGTCCAGGGAGTCCCAGAAAGAAATAGAAAAAGAGAGAGAAGCGTACCGTCAGAGAACAGCCGCTTTCCAGCGGGATCTCGAAGCCAAGTACCACGCCGTGATCTCAGAAAACCGGCGCGCCGTGGCTCACTTGTCTTTGGAACTCGAGAAGGAACAGAACAGAACGACTAGTTACCGAGAAGCACTTATCTCTCAGGGGCGCAAGTTGGTAGAAGAAAGGAAGCTTCTGGAACAGGAATGGGCTCAGGTCATGCAAGAAAAGAGACAGTTGCAGCCTCTGAGAAGTGCGTATCTGAGCTTCCTGGAGAAGGAGGACGACTGGCAGAGGAGGGCCAGGCTTGTGCTGAAGGAGTTCGAGGATGCCCTGACGGAGAGACAGAGCATCTACTGCAGCCTGGTCCTCCCCCGCGGCAGGCGGCTGGAAATCGAGAAGAACTTACTGGTCCGAGCGTCCACAGACCCGGTCGCCGCAGAGCTGCAGGTGGCGGCCGGCCTGACCGACATATTCCAGCACGACACTCACTGCGGCGGCGTCTGGAACACCAGCCGGCGCCGGAACGGCAGACTCATGTGGCTGTATCTCAGGTACTGGGAGCTGAGCGCCGAGCTGAGGAAGCGTCAGCGGGTTGAGGCTGCCATCCTGGGGGACTGGCCGGAGCCCCGCATGCCGCCGGCGACACCCTGAGGCCCCAGGTGCCGCCGCGCTGGTTCCTTCTGGCGCGGGCGCCTGCGGCTGCCTTCACACAGGGGCCGCGTCCTCTCCCGCCGCGTCCGCGCGGGGCGACGGGTCTCCTTCTTAGCCCTCTTCAGCCACTGAGGATGCAGGTTCCCGGAGGACTTTTTTGAAGCTGTGCCATTGTATGAGGCTGAGCAGTATTACACACCCTCCTGCCTTTGCTGTAGGTAAGACTGTTTTTGAGAAAGTCAAAGAGTATCGATCCTCTCTGTAAGTAGTTTTCAGTCTGTTTTTGTCACTCCCTAAATAAATTCTGTTTTCTCCTCCAGTGACTTCTCTCTCTCCTAGAATTATAAATAGACGTTGTCAGGTAGTGGCTGGAACTGCCTAAGGACGACAGAAAATAGTAACATTATCAAGGTTTCCTGCGGGCATGAGCATCTCTTCCACCAAGGCAGAGAAAGTGCTTCTTGTATCCGGTCGGCACCTGAGACGTGTTTGGGACTTGGCTTGTGTCTGTATTTAGTCAACATACATTATTTACCAGCAATGATCTATAATAAAAAATGCTTGAATTTAAAAGCAACAGTGCCACCTCCGTGTGCAATTTACTTTACTCTTTATAAAATGTTTTTACATAGATTATCTCCATTCTAGCCCAAACTGATCAAAGGTAGGCACTTGCCCATTTTTCACAAAGCTGTGGTGGATCAGCCTCTCACATATCACCCCTGCAGGCCCAGTGGGGAGAATGTGCAGCAAAATCAGCAGAGAACGGGACACCTGGGTGGCTCTGACTTTGGTTCAGTTCATGATCTCAGGGTCCCGGGATCGAGCCCCCTGGGGAGCTCTGCTCTCTGCAGAAAATCTTGTTCCTCTGCCTCTGCTCCTGTCCCTGTTAATGTTCTCTTGCTCTCAAATAAATCAGTAAAATCTTCAAAGAGAAAATCAGCAGAGGGAAAGGCATGCGGGGCTGAGTGAGGACCCTGTGCAGCTTCCAGAATCCTCTCCCAGGGGTCACGGGACTGGAGTGCTCCCTCCCACCGCCCCCACCACCAGCAAGGAGTGTGAACTGTCCCCAACCTGGGACCCCCAGAGACTGCCCGGGGCTGGTGTGGACAGCTGGCCATGTGGGTATCCTCTGCAGACTCCCAGAAGGAAAGCCGGCGTCCCCTCAAACTGCACATTTAGACACAGTGGGCTGCCCTTACTGGTCCGTGGCTGGGGGATCCTCCCCGAATCCAGGTTCCCCATGCCACCCAGGGACCAGCCTTGCAGCAGGCTTGTAGGAGGCCCACGGCCTTTGCGTGCAGGGGAGGCAGCAGGCCTGCAGTCCAGAGGGGCTGGGCAGTGCATGGCCCCAGAGCTCCCGGTCACTCAGCTGCTTGGGACCAAGTGGCCCAGCAGCAGCTGCATGGAGGCCCGCCTGCTTCGGAACCCAGTCTCCGCCCAGGCCGCCTGCCTGTGGCAGGGAGACAAACTTAGAAATACTAAGGTGACAGAAAACTTCCTAATTGTGGGGGTGTCAGAGCCGGGTTTGTTCTGGGGCCCAAAATGCTGAGGACTTGGGCCAGTGGGTCCACGTGGTTTAGGCGCACGTGTGGCTTTTAATGTTTGGAGCAATTTCAGAGACGAGGAAGTGGCTCAATGACCGTAAGGCCCCCATGGGGCTGGGGTCCGCGCCCCAGAGTCTGCTCTTAGCCGCCGTGCTCTGCACAAGACAGTGTCATGCTTTTCTCCTGCAACGGCTCCTTGGGTTACCTTTCCGCTCTACTGTCCCTGTCCCCACTTGATCCAAACAAAACTCACTCAGGTCACTCTGAGCTGACAAGTTTCTGGTTGTTTGTACCATGTAGAGTGGTGTCCGTCTGGTCTCTGGCACTCCACGGACTCTCCAGGGACCCTTGGATAAACCACCTAATGCTTTGCCCTTGGTTTTGTCTGAAAAAGGAGGGACATTCGGGGGCCCCTGGGTGGCACAGTGGGTTGAGCAGCTGACTCTTGGTTTTAGCTCCGGTCATGAGCTCAGGGCTGTGGGACCAAGCCCTGTGTCATGGATTCTCTCTCTCTCCCTCTCTGCCCCCTCTCCCTCGTGCTCTGTGTCTCTCTTTCTCTGAAAAATAAATAAATCTTTAAAAAAAAAAAGTGGGGGGCAAAGGGGCACCTGGGTGACTCAGTAGTTGGGTGGTTGCTATCAGCTCAGGTCATGATCTCCGTCCTGGGGTCGAGCCCCACGTCGGGCTCCCCGCTCAGCAGGAAGCCTGCTTCTCCCTCTCCCACTACCCCTGCTTGTGTTCCCTCTCTTGCTGTGTGTCTCTGTCAAATAAATAAAATTTTTAAAGAGGAAAATTCAGCCAGTCATCGCCTCACTAACTTCAAGGTGAATTATTACTCCTTGCCCTAGTTTCTAACGTCCCGCAGGCTGAGTCTAGCCTCGAGCAGCATGGGGCTACGTCCTGGGAATTCAAGTCTGCTTAGACACTGCGCGGACACTGCAGAATCGAAACTTGCTGCAGGAAGTTATGGTGGGCTATGTTTGCCTTTGCACAGCACCTCTGCCTTCTACGAGCAAGTTGAATTGAGGGTAATTTGATGCCGTCCATCTTTTTAACATTGACTTTGTTAGACTGGAAATGTGATGACTTCACAGATGACGTCGCCTCCATCGAGTCATTTGTGATGACATCACAACGGAGGTCTGGACTAAGTGACACGGCGGTGGAGCGTCATTGAACTAAAAGCATTTGACTTGAGAGGAACAGGAGCCAGGATCTGTTCGGTGTGTGGGGGGGGGGTCTGTGGGGACCCGGGAGGCGGACGCCGTTGTCCAGGCTGCTTTCTGGGTGGTCTGAGTAACTGAAACCTTGAGCCCGCAAGGCAAGGAGACGTTCCAGGGTAAAAGGGGCCAGGGCTGAGGCGAGGCCTGTCTTGAGGGAGCCTGTGTGCGTCGGTCAAGAGAAGGGGGCATTTCATGGCCTGTGATTTTAATTGATCTGGGGACCCTGTGGGTGGGGTTGTAGTGACTTACGCAGGAAGGGCTTTGAGGGGGAGTCACTCTCTGCTTTCTAACCGTGCTTACTGTGAAAGCACCTATTTCAGGGCGTTTTACTTTGGAAAATGGTTGGAAGACACAGGGATTGACCTGGATGTCCCCTAAATAAAACAAGAAGCCTGCAGTGATTCTGTAAATTAATCCCACTCAATTTTTTTGTTAAATATGCTTTTCCCCCTTGTAAAAGTTCATAGACGCAGAGAGTTCTCATATGTATTTCGTGTGTGTGTGTGTCTGTAATGCACGTGTGGACTGACAGATGAAGTGTTTGATTTCATAGTGACAAAGTAATCCTACGAACATCGCACCAATGACGCGATGTTATGACAGGGAAGGGACTTCACCAAAGAACCTGTGTGTTTTTTTTTTTTAATTTTATTTTTTATAAACATATAATATCTTTTTATCCCCAGGGGTACAGGTCTGTGAATCGCCAGAACCTGTGTGTTTTTGAAAAGGGAAGTTATGGACGCCTGGGGGGCTCAGTCGGTGAAGCGTCTTCCTTCGGCCCAGGTCATGGTCCCAGGGTCCCAGGATCGAGCCCCTCTGCCTGCTGCTCCCCTTGCTTGCGTGCTCTCTCTCTCTCTGACAAATAAATAAAATCTTAAAAAAAAAAAAAAAGGGGGAAGTTGCATCTAACTAAACTATGTAAGAGTATTTTTTTTAATATTTTATTTATTTATTTGACAGACAGAGATCACAAGGAGGCAGAGAGGCAGACAGAGAGAGAGGAGGAAGCAGGCTCCCCGATGAGCAGAGAGCCTGATGCTCAGGACCCAGGACCCTGAGATCATGACCTGAGCCAAAGGCAGAGGCTTAACCCACTGAGCCACCCAGGTGCCCCCGTAAGAGTATTTCTGTGAGGGATGATGGTTCAAAGTCTGATTGAGGAGCAGTTTGCCCAGATGACCTCTCTGAATAGACAGAGGAGACCTCTTTGTCTTGGCTTCCGCCGTCTCTGTCTCGCTTTCTGGAAGCCAGTGTGCCCTAAACACAGGGGGGAGGGGAGAAGGTTCGCGTGCTCTCTGGGGACCCCGTGATGGAGCGCAGGGGACGGCGCCCGGCGCAGGGGACCTCCCGAGCCCTGCAGAGACAGTGCTGGATGGTGGAGGCCAGAGAGAGCCCCTGGGCCTCCTGGGGACAGCCCAGGCCCTGCGGTCGGAACTGCCCGGCCCCTGGTGAGCGGACGCTGCTGTCTTCCACCGGCGACAGAAACGGCTGCGTTTCTCTCTGCAGCAGGACGCGGGCTGCGAGCGACCGAGAGCGATCAAGCTGCCCGGGACAGCTTCGAACGGGGTGTATTCGAGGACCCGTCATGGAACCTTGAGGGCAGGAATGGAGCCGGCAGGCCGGGTCCTCAGAGAGGGACCAGAATGGCCGACACCGGCCGGGACCCTCGGAGCTGTGGTCTCGCGGGCTCGTGTCTGTGCATCCGCTTCCATCTTTCTCCTCCTGCGTCTTCTGAGCTCGCGTCTTACCTATCGGCTCCCACGCGTGGCGGTTCGGGCGCTACCGTGGCGTGTATAGCCTTTGTCAGCCGCGCAGGAAATCTTGAAAAAAGACGAGGAGGCTCATTGGCGGCCACCGTGGCGGCTCGGGAGGAAGCGCGTCTCCTGCAGACCCGCTGGCCAGTCGGGGGCTCGGCAGGTGCAGACCGCCTCAGGGACGCCCTGGGTTCTGGGCCCTCCCACGTCCCGCCACCGCCCCGCGGTGCCCAGCGCCCGCTGCCCCTGAAGGCCTGTGCTGGGCTGGCGCGCTGTGCCGGGCGGACCTACGGGTGAGGCGGGGCGCACTCACCACGTCCCTTTGTCTGGTGTCCCCGCACGGACACTGGCTCCTCATGGGGGCCTGCGGTGGGCGGGGGTGAGTGCCAGGCTGTCCGGAGCCAGGGGCCCAGAAGGTCAGGGAGGAACGGACGGGGGTGTTGGAAGGGTTTCTCGGTGTGGGGGGGCAGAGGCTGCAGCCCCGGCCGATGTGCTGAGGGCCTGGGAGAGGCTCTGCCCACAGCCCGGGCCGGCTCTTGTGGGGGACGCCACGGCGGAGGGGACTCGGCCGGGCAGCGCAGGTGGGGCGAGTCACGTGATGGGCATCGTGACCCAGGAGAAGGCTCGCTCCTCCACCCGGAGGGAGCTGCCGCCCTGGCCAAGGACAGAAAGTGGGATCCTGTGGACGAGCGGGTGACAGCTCATCGGGGTAGCTCAAGCCACACAAGGAGAAGGAAAAGGACAGCACCTGTAATGGAAGAGCCACAGGCTCGTGTCCCTGCACAGAGGGTC